GGGAAGCAGCTGCACAATCGAATGGAGCCCCGCAGCCCTTCAAGAAGAGGCAAAGATGGCGCTCGGAGCCAGGCACTTGAGCAAAAGGAGGGGGAGGTGGCGAGAGGCAAGTGAGAAATCAAAAGAAGCAGGGAAAAAAAAAAAAGCAACACTATCAGCCAACAAATGGCACCCAGAGAGCCACCTGCTTTGGTGTGTGGAATCCAAGCAGCCGGCGCATCCTCGTCAAGAGACCTTGGCCACGGGAAGCAGAGGAGGCTGAGCCGGGACGAAGAGGGGTGGGGGGTGGGAAAGCGCACACCACAAATTACCGGCTGTTTTGTCTCCCGCTGGATGCTCCGTGAGCTGGATTAAGTTTTGACATACCAAAATTTTTCCTTTTTCTGGCCTTCTGAAAATGCCCTGGAAAAATAATTGTCTCACCAACAGTAGTTAGCAAATAATCAGTAGGAAGCATTGATTCTACAAGTTTAGCTTTAGTGGATGGTGTTTATTTTTAAGGCAGTGGGAATCAAGTGAGTGAATCAAAGTCATGTGTAGTTGCTGTAATTCTTATGAAGAATAGCTCAGTATTTAATGACTTGAAGATGTATCTTAAAAATATCAGGAAGCGGTGGCGTAGTGGTTGAGAGCTACATCTGCTAACCTAAAGATCAGCAGTTGGAATCCACCAGGTACTCCTTGGAAACCCTATGGTGCAGTTCTACTCTGTCCTATAGGGTCGCTATGACTTGCAATCAACTCAATGGCAACAGGTTTGGGTTTTTTTGGTTTTCAGGATTTGTGGGGCCAAAGGAGATAATTTTGAGCAAAGCCACACCCCACTGGGAAGCAGATTCACTATTAGACTGTAAGTTCTACGGGGAGGAAACCATGTCCGTGTTGGTTTTCATTGGATCCTCAGGACCCAGCTTGGGCTCTGTGCTTAGGAAATGTGTGTTGACTATTTGAATGACATTTAGAGGAAGCGTCCTGTTTCAAACATTTAACTTTTTAGAGAAGAGATGGTGAATAGAAGATCAAGCTTTTTGACACTTCCCACATATTGATTCTGGGATAGGACATTTGCTGGACTGAGTAGAACTTCCCCATAGGGTTTCCTAGGCTGTAATCTTTACGGGAGCAAATTACCAGGTCTTTCTCCAGTGGAGCTGCTTGGTGGGTTCAAACTGCCAATTTTTCTTTTTCTATTAGCAGCCGAGTGCTTAACCATTGCGCCACTAGGGTTCCTTAATAATTACATGTCTGACTGTAATTTCAACTCATTAGAGCAAAAAATTACCAATAATAAAGTTTCTTGCATTATGTCACTGACATGGAATAATGAAGGCAGATTGTGTTCCTGCACACAGCTAGCATCACTCAGCTCTCACACTAACAGAAAGGGCTTTACTGCCTGAAGAGGAAAGCCTATGCAAAAGACAGAATAAACCTTTGAAGCTTACTTTAATCGAAGAATATTTACACAATTCTCCTCAGGTTGTACCATCTTTCTTAAGTGGTTGTATTTTGTGGCTAAATGAACACCTGAAAAAAAAAAATTCAATCATGTTTCGTATCTTTATTATTTTTTATTATAAAACCAACACGCATATACTATAAAAATCTCTAAACAATAAAGAATGTGAAAAGTTAAAAAAAAAATCAAGAAGCACCAAAAAATTTAATGAGTACATGAGGCTTTGTGAAAATGACTATGCATAAGAAGTTTGTTCGCGATTTGCAGCGTGTGGTGAAAGGAATTAAATTGTTTTCTTTTTTACTTGATAAATGATATGATTGTAAAACCTCCTGATTAACTGCATTGTGGTTTCTACCCAGCAAATGTTGATTTTAGTTGGCTCTTTATATTATCATCTTCTCTACTTACGTTTTCTGACCTCTTCCTAGGTTTTGTTTCTTTTGGAATTTCTCTTTGTTTTTCAGTTATCTTCATAGTTCTGCACATAACACATTTGGTTAATTGTGTTTTTGTTTTATTTTGTTTTCTTCGAGGGGCATCCTTGTACCTTAGACTTATTTGCTGTCTAGACTTTATTACTATTGCTGTATGGATTGAATTGTGTCCCCTAAAAATATGTATCAATTTGGCTGGGCCATGATTCCCAGTATTGCATCGTTGTCCTTCATTTTGCAATTGTAATTTTATGTTAAAGAGGATTAGGGTGGGATAGTATAACACTCTTACTAAGGTCACATCCCTGATCCAATGTAAAAGTTTTCCTAGGGTGTGGCCTGCACCACCTTTTATCTCTTGTAAGAGATAAAAGGAAAGGTAAGCAAGCAGAGTTGGGAAACCTCATACCACCAAGAAAGCAGTGACAGGAGTAGAGCATGATTTTTGGACCTGAGGTTCCTGAGCAGAGAAGCTCTCAGACCAAGGGAAGATTGATGATGCGGACCTTCCTCCAGAGTTGACAGAGAAAGCCTTCCCCTGGAGCTGACACCCTGAATTTGGACTTGTAGCCTACTGGACTGTGAGAGAATAAATTTCTCTTTGTTAAAGCCATCCACTTGTGGTACGGTTATAACAGCACTAGATGCCTAAGATAATTACATAAAATCAACTATGACTGACTCTAATTATTTGTATAATTTTAATTCATTTTACTTTATTCCAGATTCGCCTGAGTGACCTTATAGCAGCCAGAATCTTAAGGTATACAGATTTTGACACCTTGATATACACCTGTGCTCCTGAATTCGACTTTATGGAAAAAGCGGTATGAATGTTTCTCTATTGTTTTCTTCTTTATAGTCACAATAATTTTTTTTACTCTTAAATTTTGCTTTTAATCTGAAACTCAAAATATTTTACTCAGGAACACCTAACTAGGTTACCGTATCAGGTTTTACTATAACCTTTCCTAATTATCTCGCTTTCTCCACTTTTTCTCATCTGTAAAATCAATTAATAATAGCCTCCTATCTTAAAGAGTTATCAACGATTATTAAATGAGATAATCCATGTAGAATGCTTAACATACAGTATGAAACATGTTGTTGTTGTGTGTTATGGAGTCAATTCTGGCTCATAGCGACCCTATAAGACACAATAGAACTGCCCCATAAGGTTTCCAAGTAGATTGCCACATCTTTCTCCCCCGTAATAGCTGGTGAGTTGGAACCACTGACCTTTTGCTTAGTGGCTGAGTGCTTAACTACTGTGCCATCAGGGCTCATTCATTACTATTACTACATCTCAATTACCTTTAATAATCTAGTCCAACTAGGGGTATGGGGCCATTCAGGAGAAAAAAAAAAAAGAACAACAGAAACAAAAAAACAAATTCTTGTTTTTGTTTTTATTTTTAACAAATTCAGTTTGGCTACATTTAACACTCCAGATAGTTCCAAATTTTCTAATAAAGTGTTACCAAGAAAGATACTACTAATGAGTTTTAATGAATATATAAAATTCATTTTAAATCATGGAAATGCATGGTATTATCCTTAACTTGTTAACATCCTGCAATATGCAGATGACACAACCTTGCTCGCTGAAAGTGAAGAGGACTAGAAGCACTTACTGATGAAGATCAAAGACTACAGCCTTTGGTATAGATTATACCTCAACATAAAGAAAACAAAAATCCTCACAACTGGACCAATAAGCAATATCATGATAAATGGAGACGATATTAAAGTAGTCAAGGATTTCGTTTTACTTGGATCCACAGTCAGCACCCCTGGAAACAGCAGTCAAACAACATATTGCATTGGGCATATCTCCTGCAAAAGAACTCTTTCAAGTGTTAAAAGGCAAAGATACCAATTTGAGGACTGACGTGTGCCTGACCCACACCATGGTATTTTCAGTCACCTCATACGCATGCGAAAGCTGGACAGTGAATAAAGAAGACAGAAGAGGAAATGATGTATTTGAATTATGGTATTGGCAAAAAATATTGAATATATCACAGACTGCCAGAAGAACAAACAAGCTTGTCTTGGAAGAAGTACAGCCAGAGTGCTCCTTAGAAGTGAGGATGATGAGACTTGTCTCACGTACTTTGGACACGTTATCAGGAGGGACCAATCCCGGAAGAAGGTTATCATGCTTGGTAAAGTAGAGGGTCAGCAAAAAAAGAGGAAGACCCTCAAAGAGATGGATTGACACAGTGGCTGCAACAATGGGCTCAAACATAGCAATGTTTGTGAGAGTGGCACAGGACCAGACAGTGTTTTGTTCTGTTGTACATAGGGTTGCTATGAGTTGGAACTGACTTGATGGCACTTAACAACAACATCCTTAGAAAATATAGCTCATACCAGACAACTAGATGGTGCCCAGCTACCACCCCACCGACCGCTCTGACAGGGATCACAATAGAGGGTCCCAGACAGAGCAGGAGAAAAATGTAGAACAAAATTCTAACTCACAAAAAAAGACCAGATTTACTGGCCTGAGAGAGACTGGAGAAACCCCGAGAGTATGGCCCCTGGACAACCTTTTCGCTCAGTAATGAAGTCACTCCTGAGGGTCACCCTTCATCCAAAGATTAGACAGGCCCATAAAACAAAATGAGACTAAATGGGCACACCAGCTCAGGGGCAAGGACAAGAAGGCAGGAGGGGACAGGAAAGCTGGTAATAGGAACCCAAGGTCGAGAAGGGAGAGTGTTAACAAGTCGTGGTGTTGTTAACCAATATCATAAAACAATATGTGTACTAACTGTTCAATGAGAAGCTAGTTCTCTAAACTTTCATCTAAAGTACAATAATAAATAAATAATCCAAAATACTAAAACCAAATTAGAAATTGACTAGCTTACCACTGTATTTTGTTGATAATAATCCCCTATTATAGTGACATTATCACCTCTATATCTGTAATTCAGAAGGCCTTATTACAACCAAACAGCCTGCCCCAGCAGAGAGAGCAAGGGTTCTTCTCTGTGCTCACATAGCTTCTGCTGCATTACTGAACATACTCTCATAAGATCATCCAGCTTCTTGTCTGTCTTGCCTCTTTGCAGAGGAACAAGGACTTACTCGTCTTTATAACTGAGATGCTTAGCACAATGCCTAGCATGTGGTGTTCTATAAGTGTTGCTTAAATGACATGACTGAATGACAATAAAAAAAAAAAAATGTAAAACTGAAAAAAAAAAAAGCTCATGTTGCTAAGCTTTAAAATATTAACCCTTCCTCCTTAGAGACAATGTAGTATATGTCTTTCATTTGCAGATGAACAAAACAAAGCTTAAATGACTTGCCTGAAGTATACAGTGGAGCCAACTTTAGCACATGGGTCTACTAACTCCAATCCAGTGCTTTTTCCTCTACCTGCTGCTAAATTTTTTTTTAATAAGAAGTGAACAGGTCATACTGGTTCAGCCCTGGTTTAAGGATTCTGAATTAATGGTAACTAATAATGAAATTTTATCACATTTTATTCTCTTATCCATCTGACTAGTTATACAATCATGGCAAAAACTATTATTGGCCAACATTTATGTGTGAGGTAATTTTTTGTAGGTTAAGAAGAGGGCTATGACCTGGTTCCTGCCCTCAAACCCAACCAAACCAAACCCATTGCTGTAGAGTTGATTCCGACTCATTGCAACCCTGCAGGACTGAGTAGAACTGCCCCACATGGTTTCCAAGACTATAAATCTTTACGGAAGCAGACTGACACATCTTTCTCCTGCAGAGCAGCTGGTGGGTTCAAACCATCGACCTTTTGGTTAGCAGTCTGTGCCACCAGGGCTTCTTCTTGCCCTCAAGAAACATAAAATTTAGTTATATGGTAAATCACTCCCTGTCACAATAATAGGTCATGAGAGTTATTTAGCTGATGTTATTTCAGTGGTTACTGATACTTATAGAAATTACTTAGACTAGTTTTCTTCCTTTTTAGCTTTAGTCACACTGATGAAAACATGGAATGTCGCAACACAGGAAATGATAATGTAGGGCCCAAGAATGAGTAAACACACATTTAAAACAATATTATGTCAATAAAGAAAAAAACCACAAGAGTGGAACAAATTGACAGACATATTTAATTCTAGGTTTAATAGTATTGTTTGTATCATTAAAATTTTTGATATTTCGTATAACTTTTGCTTATCATTTTATGATTCTTGTATTAGAACCTAGAGGCTGATAAATTTACATGCTGCTAATGACCCAGATACGTTTACCTTTAAGAAATTTCATTGTGGCACTCAGTTTTACATAGATTTTTATTCATATGAACTAAAATTAAATAACTATTTCTAATAATTTGCTATGTTTCAGACACCGCTGAGATACACAAAGACATTTTTGCTTCCAGTTGTTATGGTGATTACTTGCTTAATCTTTAAAAAGGTATTTAAAATTTTTTACTGCTTTGTTTGGCTTCAGGATTAGTACTATAATAGATTAATATTAATAGCTCAAAAATCTATCTCATTTTTAAGATGAACTCTTCTCTTCCCTAAAAATTATGTTTTTTATTCAGTCCTTTCTTTACCTACTATTATATGGGTTTTTAAAAAAGCTACATTAGAGAAAGGTCTTCTTATTTATTCTTTCAAAAGATATTTATTAATCACCTACTATGTATCAAGCACTGCACTAACATTTTAGGTACACTGGGACAGATAAGACATGGCCACTCCTGTCTAGGAACATAAGCAAATAATCACACAAATGACTAAAAAGTACAATTATTATAATTATTATAGGTGCAATGAAAGAAAAGTACATGACAACTTTGTTATCTTTCAAATATAAACCACGTTTTGAACAGACTTGATCTGTTTGGGCAGACGCGCACAGAGGAGAAATTTATATAGCCATGGCTTCAAAACTTTTTTTTTTCTCTACATGTACACTGTTTTCACAAGAGAAAAAAATAATGTCACAATAGAAAACAATCATGTTTAAAATACTGCAGGCAGATTTTCTTGGTCTGGAGGTGGCTTATCTAGTTAAGGACAGTGGGTCCTGAGGGTTTTTTTTTTTTTTGAACCATCTTTGTTTATACTGTTTATAAATTGTCTTGCCTCAAGTCAGTATGTATTCATTTGTAGCAGATAACAATAAGAACATCATTTCTGTACTCCCATACCAATTGTGATCCTGCTGAAACTACAGTTTTCTGTATTTAAAGTCCCATTGCATTTCTTATGCTGTCTTCCCTGTGTAGTTCGAGTTCCGCTATTTCCTTTGCTTTCACAATAGAATAGAAATAATTTATGAGTGAGAAAGAGAAGCCATCTCTCTCTGTATCTGTTGTTTCACCTGTGATCTAGTTCCCTCAGGCCCACTTAGAAAGAGTCAGGATAGAAGTAACGAGAAGGAATGGATAAAATCTGAAAAAGTTTGCTGCTCTCCATCCCCTTGGCCCTGTCTAGCTCAGGTAGCAGATTTTCGCCACTAGCCTGTTTCTGTTCCGTCATGGCCAACTGTGGCATTGTTATAGGGCTCCACTAAGAGGAACGAATTAAGTATTCAGTAGAGAGACATCCAGTGTGAGGAAAAAATGATAGCTACATCTACTATTGCTATTTTTTAAAGTAAAGATCACATCCACGTTAAAAACTAAAAAACCAACCCACTGCTGTGGAGTTGACTCTGACTCATAGCGACCCTATAGGACAGAGTAGAACTGCCCCTTAGAGTTTCCAAGGTTGTGATCTTTACAGAAGCAGACTACCACATCGATCTCCCGCAGAGCTGCTGGTGGGTTCATACCACCAACATTTCAGTTAGCAGCCGAGCACTTAACCACTGTGCCACCGGGGCTCCTTAGCTTACACACATTCAAACCAAAAAACCCATTGCCGCCAAGTCGATTCCAATTCATAGCAACCCTATAGGACAGAGTAGAACTGTCCCACGGTGTTTCCAAGGAGTGGCTGGTAGATTCGAACTGCTGACCTTTTGTGTTAGCAGCCAAGCTCTTAACCACTGCACCACCAGGGCACCATACACACATTACTAGCCCCTAAACACACCACAGCCCAAACCATGTACGTGAACCACGATGCACCTGAACACACATGCATGCGCACATATACACCCATTTCCTGCAGCCGCCAAAGCTTAGCTCCTTTCTGCTTCCATGTAAACCCTTCATTCTTTACTGTCCTGTTGTGGCTTATTTCTCACCTCAAGAATCCTTTTAATGTTCATTTAAACTTCTGCTTGTAAAAAATCACTTTTAGGAAGGAAAGAAAGAAGGCATATGTATAGTATGATTTCCCTGTGGCAGTACTGAATCTTTAATTTCTATAAATGAATATATTTTATTAATTATATCTTTGAATTTGCATTTGCTTGTATTGCATATGCTATTGGAATCTCATTTATGTTACTTGATGCATAATAATTTGAGACATTAACATTGAATTTATATGGCAGTATCTATGGAATTTCAAATATTCTTCCATGTCGCATACTTTTTAATCAATGAGAGAAGTTAAAATTTCTAAGTCTAGGTATGATTTTAATTAGAGTCTAAATTCAGCTATGTACTTTTTCAATATTTATGAGTTTATAAACTACATATCATGTGGAGTACAAAATTTTAAGTTACCTTTAAATTTTTTTATTTTATGGTATCTTAGTATCTTCTGCTTTAACAGAAATACCACAAGTGGGTGGCTTTAACAAATAGAAGTGTATTTTCTCACAGTTTAGGAGGCTAGAAGTCCGAATTCAGGATGCCAGCTCTGGAGGAAAGTCCTTGTCTCTTTTGAGCTTCTATTCCTGGGCGATCTTCATGTGGGTTGGCACCTATCTTCGCCTAAATGTGCTTGCTAGCTTGCATTTTATATTTCAAAAGAGATTGACTCAAGATACACCCTACACTACTCCTGCCTCATTAACATAACAAAGACAACCCATTCCCGTTCGCAAATGGGACTATAACCACAGGCAAAAAAAAAAATCCATTGCTGTCAAGTTGATTCCGACTCACAGCGACCCTATAGGGCAGGGTAGAACTGCCCCATAGGCTTTCCAAAGAGCAGCCGGTGGATTCAAACTGCTGACCTTTTGATTAGCAGCTGTAGCTGTTAACCCCTGGGCTATCAGGGCTCCAACCGCAAGCATCGAGATTAGATTTTACAACATGTATTTTTGAGGGACACATTTCAATCCATAACGTGGTTTAAGTTGCATATGATTGCACTAAAGGCTCTTCAGCTAAATTTAGCCTTCACATTCCCCTTCCACTCCTCCCTCTCTCCCACTCCCACCATCATCTAGTACATTTTGATGAGTGCTCTTTAGCCTTCTTTAGTGGTCACTTCAGGCTGAAAGAGAAATCAGGGAAGCAGATGTGTCTGTAAGTAATTTTATAACAATCAGGAGTTTTGAGTGAAGTGTGAACAGAGCTGTGTGCACATGTGTAGATGGAAGGATAGATAGATATTCCTGCTGTGCATGGGAAGCTAATATATATAAAATGGTCTCTCAGAGTATGTGGGGGAAGCTGCCTTCCTAGTGGAAACCAGCTCTCCCTATACCATCCCCACCCAGTAAAAATACAAACTTAAAACACTAGTAAGGAATTATCCACATATAAAAGCTTAGAATTTTAGAGCTGAAACAGACCGTAAGATCTCAAACACTCTTGTATAGAAGAGGAGGTTGTAACTTTAAGAAGTTGTTTGTCTGTGGCAGAGCTGGGGCTAAACGGTTCTTGGTGCCAGCAAGTCAAGACTCAACTTTAACATTTAAAAAATACTTCTTTCTAGTTTGGTGTGTTTTATATTAATGAATCAGAGCATTTTTAATGTTGCATAATTCCTTAGAGAAGTTACATTGATTTGATTCTATTTACAGATTGCTCGTGATATTCTGTGTGTCTTATCTGCAAACACTTTTCTCAGGTAATTATGTCATGGTTGTTTTTAAAACATTCTATATTAAATTGGTGGTGTAGTGGTTAAGTGCTACAGCTGCTAACCAAAAGGTGGGCAGTTCAAATCCATCAGGTACTACTTGGAAACTCTATGGGGCAGTTCTACTCTGTCGTATAGGATCGCTGTGAGTCGGAATGACTCAACGGCAATGGGTTTGGTTTGTTTTTTTTATATTAAATTGGCACAGTGGTTAAGAGCTCAGCTGCTAACCAAAGGTCGGCAGTTCAAATCTACCAGCCGCTCCTTGGAAACCCGATGGGGCAGTTCTACTCTGTCCTGTAGGGCCGCTATGAGTCAGAATCGACTTAGACAGCAACAGGTTTGGGGTTTTTTTGGTATATTAAATTATTAAATAGCTTATTAAATATTAATTTTTCAAATGGATATAGATTAAGCTTCAGCATTATGATGAGAAAAGGAGATATGAAGCAAACTTAGTGTTGGTTGTTAAGAAAACTGAGTATATTATTTTTATGTATTTTGTGTACTGTATTTGGACTTGTTTTGGAGATATTTGTATTTTGTATTTGCTCAGAGTTTAAATTGATTCAGCTTAGTTTTAGTATATCACTAGAATTTAAAGTCAGTATGCGGAAGTAAGCTAAAGTTTCATTTTGGCCATGCTTGTATTTTCATTTATTTATTTACTTACTTTTAGAGAAATTATGTTTCTAATATTATTAAATGTTTTGTTTTACATTTATTCTTAAAAATTTTGTTTTATCACATATTTTGTGGTTTTAGTAAAGTCACTAGAATTAAGGCATAAACAAATGCTAGCAAAATATAACATGACTCATAAATCACACATTGCTACAGGACACGAGAAGTAAATTGTGAAGAAAACTTCCTTCTGAGGGAACTCTTATCTCAAATTATATTTAATATTTGTAGGTATGTCATTTGATTTTTTTATTTAATGAACTTTATTTTTTAGAACAGTTTTAAATTTATAGAAAAATTGTGAAGCTAGTACAGACAGTTTCCATGAACCCCATATCTCATACTTACATTTTTAAAAAGCAGTATTGTATAATTGCCAGATGAGCTAATATCATATGGTGCATTTGTTGGAATATTTCCAAAACCCATGGGATAATAGACCCATTCTACTTTGTTCTGGTCAGATGGACCTCAGGCAAATACGTCTGGACATTCTAAAAGGTGTGTGTTCAGAGCCCTAAAAACTATTAATGTAAGAATGCTTGAAGGACTTGGGATAGTTAATTGGATAGTAGAAGATTCTGGGGGTACATGGCAGCTGTCTTCAAATATTTGAGACGGTAATATGCAGGAGAACAGACTTGAGGGCTGATGGGTAGAAGATTCTTGGCTCAAAATAAGGAAGCCTTTCAAAATGATTGCAAACCTGAAGTGACAGCCTTGTGTGTGTATATGGACAGAGGGGTATTTTAAATCACCAAAAGAATGCATGCTTGTAGTAATTCAGTAAGATTCAGGCAAAACAGAAGTATATCCAAAAACAAAAGTTTCCCTCCCTTATATCTACTCCTCAGAGATACTAATTGTAAATAGCTTTGTATGTATCCTTCTGGAAAAGATGTACAGAGACACAGTATTTTTAAAAAAATAATTGGAATGCAGTACTCTTATTATTCTCAACTAGTTATTTTTATTTAACTGTACGTCTTGGGCATCTGAATAGATCTCCCTTACACTTTGTAATGGTCTTAGCATTCTATTGTTCATTATCATGATTGACCCCATGGATTTAACCACTTCCATATCAATGAACGTTTATATTTACCATTTCGTCATAACAACCAATGCTGTAATGAACATCCTTGTACATCTTTGTACATTTGTTCTAGTATGCTATCCAGGGCTCCATGCTATAGCATAGAATACTTGAAATAGGACTGATGCATCATAAGGAATGAATATTTTACAATTTGATAAATACTGAGGAATTGTAGCGATGAGAGTACCCATCTCCCTGCAGCCCCACGAGCACCAATGTTATCAAACTTTTAACTGTTTTCTATCAAATACAAAAAATAGAAACCCATTTTATAATTTGTCACTTACTAGTGAAGTTTTTCATCTTTTCATATGTCTGTAGCCTGTTTTATATTTCTTCTTGACCTTTTAAAATTGATTTGTAGGATTTTTAAATATAGATATTAACCTTTTCTCTATTATGTGTATGACATAGCTCCTTCTAGGATGTCAGTTTATAGTTTATTTATGGTCTTGGCTTTAGAGAAGTTTAAAATCTTTATATGGTTTCAAATCTTTATACAGTCATATCTGTCACCTTTCCACAGTTTTGTGTGTGTGTGTTCATTTTTTGCTAGAAACACATCCCCATATCAAAATTATAAAATATTTTTATTCATAATTTTTTATTTTAAATAGATCATTAATCCCTCTTGCATTAATTTTGTGATGTGGTGAAATATAGAAATCTACCTTTTTTTCCTCCAGGTGATGTATTGTTCCAGCACAAAACTGTATAATCATTTTCCCAGTCATTTGAAATGTCAGTTTTCATCACATACTTATAAATTTTCGCATGTACCTGAGTCTTTCTCAGAGTCTCTCTTGTGTTGATCTGTTTGTTTCTGAATCTGAACCACACTATTTCAGTTTTCTCCCTCTCTGCCCAACTCCTTTTGTTAGTATCCTTCTTCACATTTGCTTACATTTACTTTTCCACGTAAACCCTGGAATAAATGTGTTTAGAGTCTTCCCTGCCCTCATCCCCCGACCATAGTCTCTATTGAAAATGCTTTAGATTAATTCAAAGGTAATTTAATCTTTATAAAATTGAGCGTCTAACCTACGAATATGGTATATCTCTATTTACTAGCTGTGGGCAAGGAATTTTACCGCTCTGCGCCCCGGTTTCATCATCAGTAAATACTGGTAATAATACAGTTATTGTATGTATTAATAGAGTTAATACAGGTAAAGTGCTTAGAATGCTGATTATTAGTGTTGTTATAATTATTATACTCTAGTAAAACTTTATCCTTTTTTCTTTTTTTCTTGTGATCCTTACTAAGTTTTTTTCTTCTGGATTTTATAAGGGTTTTCATTTTTATTTTTCCTATTGAAAATGATAAATTTTAAACATTATATTTGCTAATTCGTCATTGGTAGTTTATAGGAATTTGTTGATTTTTATGCATAAATTTTGTATCCAGCCATAATACCAAACTTTCTTTTTTCGTTTTCATAGTGTTTTGATTGATTCTCTGGATTTTCTAGACAGGTGATCATATAATCTTCAAATAATGATAATTTTCAATATTTATATTTCTTTCTTTTTTCTTATCTTACTGTATTGGCTAAAACATCCAGAGCATTATTGAATAGTGGCAGTGAGGCTTTGTCCTTTGTTCTTGTTTTGTTTCTGAATCTACGGTGAATGCCTTTAGTGGTTCATTTGTCTACTTGCTGTTAATATGCAATTAAAAAAAAAAATCTGTTGCCATCTAGTCAATTCCGACTCACAGTGACCCTATAGAACAGAGTAGAACTGCCCCATAGGGTTTCCAAGGAGCACTGGCAGATTCAGACTGCCAGTGCTTTGGTTAGCAGTTGTAGCTCTTAACCACTACGCTACCACGGTTTCCTCAGATACCATTGATTTAATTAGAGATGTTTCCTTCTAGTCTGTTTAAACCAACATGATTTTTTAAATTAAAAATGCATTGAAAGTATATGGTATGTGAATTCTATCTCAATATGATTGTAAAAAATGGATATTGAATTTTATAAATTTGCTTTAAAGTATTTTTGGGATCATGATTTGATTTTTCTCCTTTACTTTATTAATAACTACATGAATAGATTTGTTAATGTTGATTCATTCCTGCTCACCTAGAATGAAATATACGTGGTCATAGTACATTATACCATGCTGAAATTGATTTGCTGATATTTTACTTAGGGTGTTTGTTTATGTATTCGTAAGTGTGATTGGTGTATAAAGTTTCTGTGGGCCGTCCTTACCTGGTTTTGGAATCAAATTTACTTTCTCTGTTCTCTGAAGATAGTTTAATTAACATGGGAATTATCTGTTCCTTAAAGGTTTGACAGAACTCATCCATAAAATTGTCTTGGCCTTTTTTTGAGGGTAGGGGGTTAGCTCCTGACTTATTTCAACATATTATATAGCAATTTATATATACAGGTGTTACTGAGTCACTTTTGGTAAATATTGTTTTGGTAGAAAATGAGCAAGTTCATTTAGTTTTTCATAACTTGTACAAGGAGTTCTTTTAAAACAGTTTCACTTATATCTGTAGATATATTTCTTTATCTTAGCACAATATTTGTGTATTCTCTTTTTTTCTTGTTCAGATTTGTCAGGGTTTTTTCCTTTTTGGATTTTTCTAAGAACAGGTTTTGATTTTATTTTTCTTGTCTGTGAAGGTTGTTCTTCATTTTATTTCTGCTTATGTTTGTATCATGTCCTTTTATGTTTTCTTTTGGTATATTTTTGCTGTTTTTCTCTGTTGAATGTCCAAGCTCATTTATTATCAATCTTTATGGTTTTCTAAAAAATGCATAAGTATAATTTTTCCTATGAATATCACTAGTTTATGTCCCATGGGTGTGTATAGAGTTACCGTTAATTTTCATTCCTATATAGTCTGTGATTTGAGTTTTGATTATTTAATCCAAAAATTATTTAGAAGACTGTTTTAAATTTTTCAACTATCTAGTTTCTTTTGTTTTGTATTTTGCCTGTATGATTTAACTACTTGCTGTTTATTGAGATTAATGTTCAGTTTTCGTAAATGCTGTAATAGCATTTGAAAATAATGTGCATTTCATTTTTTTTATTGTGCTTTAAGTGAAAGTTTACAGTTCAAGTTAGTTTCTCATACAGAAATTTATACACACATTGTTATGTGACCCCAGTTACTCTCCCTATAATGTGACAGCACACTCCTCCTTTCCACCCCGCATTTCCCGTGTCCATTCAGCCAACT